AGGTCAACATGTTCGGGTCACGCGAAGATCTCCATACCCGTACAAGGGGTGGCCACAGGCGTACCTTGGCTGCACCAGTGCCGCTGGGAATGATGTTGAAGCCAGCACCACGGCCACCGCGCCAGTCCTTGTTGGAGGGACCGTCGACGGTCTTCTGCGTGGCAGTCACGGCGTGGACGGTGGTCATGAGACCCTCGACGATGCCGAACTTGTCGTTGATGACCTTGGCAACAGGTGCAAGGCAGTTGGTGGTGCAGGAGGCGTTGGAGATGATGTTCTGGTCGGCGGTGTACTCGGTGTGGTTCACACCCATGACATACATCCTGCACGTAAGAACGCAAGATCGGGATTTCAACGAACGGCTCTAGACAGCTCAAGAGCTGGACTAAAACAGTGTTCGCTGGATCTGAACGTACGGAGCGTCAGCGCTGGGAGCGGAGATGACGACGCGCTTGGCGCCACCGGTGATGTGAGCGGCAGCCTTGTCCTTGGTGGTAAAGACACCGGTGGACTCCACAACGTAGTCGGCACCAGCCGAGCCCCAGGCAATCTCAGCAGGGTCCCTCTTGGCGAAGACCTTGACCTCCTTGCCGCCGAAAATCAGGGTGGACTCGTCCTTCACGGAGACATCACCCTTCCATTGGCCGTGGACGGTATCGTACTTGAACATGTACACCATGTACTGCAAGAAAACATTGAAAATTTGAAACATCCCCTCGAGAGTGTCAGAGAGTGATCTTTTAAAACTATCCGGCTGAGCACATAGGGGTGTAAAATGCTGAGTTTCCCAGACGTACGGTGGTGTCAATGAAGGGGTCGTTGATAGCAACCAGCTCCACATCATCGCGCTTGAGGATAGCCCTGGCGACGAGACGGCCAATGCGGCCGAATCCTGAAACAACAATATTGCACGTAACGAGATCATGAGATCCAAGGTTGCTGATTTGCAAAACAAAAAACAGGAGCTACATGAATCATCAACGCACCGTTAATGCCGATCTTGACGGGGGCTGAATCGCGGGAAGTGGGAGACGAATCAGCGTACACAAGAAATTAAAACGATTATTAGATTCATATTGTCAATGCAGCACAACTATGTAGAGCGAAATTAAATCTGTACTTACCCATGGCTAGCTGACGGAGAAAAACTGTAAAGATCTGGCAGAGAGGACGACAAAGAATGGAAGAGAGAACGATCAGATGAGATTCTCTATGCCTGAGAGTAAACGGCGAGAGGAGTAAACGGCGAGAGAAGACGAGTACTTGATGGTTCTAGAGACTAGCTTTACCTGGGATGAGGGTGGAAACTGGCTCAAAGTATAGCAAAGTAAGCTTCACCTCAGAAGCAGAAGTTGGTAAAATGATGTTCGTGAAACTCTTTATGGATGACCACGATGCCTGAACTAACATTTCCTTCACATGGCACTGTCATGCGAATGGTCATCACGGAATCTGAGCTGGGCCCATTGCTTCGGGCAAACCCGGGAATGCAGGAGGAAGATCTTTTTTTCGTGCTGACGATGACGTGCCCCCTCGCCCAAAACGAGCCGCTAGTACACGTGGCAGCGGCGCTGTTGGCGGGGAGCTGGCGAGACATTGCCCTGCCAATGCGCCCTTTTCGTCCAGCATGGCACCAGCACAGCCAAATTTCACCAGCGTGGTTGCTGGGCAAGTTGGATCTGCCCAACCAAAGTGGTGGGAAGCCCGAAACCTTTGGAGGGGTGTACTGAACAAGCCAGTTGGCTTGGAGGAATCTCCGCTGTGCAGCCATTGGTGGAGTTGGAGGTGCATTTTGGTTGATAGCTGCAAACATAATATTTCACAACTACGTAGAGTAACACGTGATTCGAAGTGTCCTTCTCTGTACACAAATGAGATACCTAATAACGAAGAATTTCCGATTGCAAGAACCCACCCGTCTGCCGAACACCACCCTGCAGGCTGCAGCAGCGCAACCTGCTGGCTGGACATTCCGCACCGCGCGGACGTCCACCGCTTCAAGCGACTGGGGAATCCGCGACGCGAGAGAACAATTTTCGCCATTTCCCTCGCGTTTTTCGCACCAACACGTTTCACCCAACAGCCGCTTTTCCTCTCACTCACCCGTCTCACACACCTGAGAAGCAGACGTCCAGAGCAAAGCTTGTGAATGTGAAGCACAGGACAGCACCACCACCCAATTTCGTACCCATCCCGCTTCTCCGCCTTCTTCCACGGCTCGGTCTAGCTCCACCACTCCCAGTGCATGGTCTGGCTTGACTGACTCTCTTCCCATTACCATTTCCGCTGTTCCCCCTTCTAGGCAATCCCAACCACCTGCGACCCTAACCGACGGTGATCGGGGTCACGTGCGTCGTCGCAACTATCAGCGTTTTCGCCTCAACTTTCGCGCTCGTTCTGGCTTGCCGTCCCAGCTCTTATAGCGCTCTATTACTCCTGGACTGCGTACTAATAGCTTCTTAGAAACCTTACCCAGCTTGTAAATCCCAAACAGCCAGTGCTGGTTCTACAAGGTGCGCGCGGCGATTCTCTAGCATTCCTTTTCACCTTTGGTTTCGGAAACGGTTAGCACCAGTTCGTCATGAATCTCTCCTCCTGAAACAGCGTAGAGTTGTCAGGCGGGGCACGTTGCTATTCCTGCCCTTGTTTGAGCCAATCGCATCCCCCGTAAATTCCGGTGTTGCCCATCAAACTTCGTACGAAAGTGGGATTTCTACTCGTTGTGTAGTGCTTTCAAAGGTTCGATATGCCGCCGGCGGCGCCGGTTTGCTGTTTGCGCGTCTACCCCGTCTTCCCCGCCACTTCCTCATCTGCCGTGATAGGAGTAATTAGCAAGTAGACATGCTGTCGAATCACTTCGTTTAAACCCCTTGTCGACACGCGTTTCAAGGCTGCGTATCAATTCGTTTGTAGCGAAACAATTGGAATTTCGCCTTCGCAAGATAGTTCAACGACTATCGCAGCTGTTCGTCGCGGAAATGAATGATTCGGCATCAGTAAGATCGTTTCAAATTCGACAGACAAAACGACATCCCGGCATCCTCCGCAATCTTCGCCACGATGACCAGTGCTTGGGCGCGCATCCCTTGCGACGGCATAATCTGGGTTCAGTTCTAGTTGCGCTAGCTCAAATTACCCTTGCCATGCTTATAACCGCGTCGATGCTGTGCGACGGCGTCGCAGCGGGAGCAGCGGCAGAGTCGCACGGTCAGATTTGGTCGCACGTCGATTCCCTCTCAGACTTGTCGTCATCGCCGTCGCCTGTTGCGACGTTTTCGCCGGAATCTACGCTCGCGTATCTGCTGACTGGCGAAAGTAGCGCGCATTCGCGACGGCTGCAGGCGAAGAATAAAGCATCGAAAGCGGCAGGCTGCGATTATCGCAAGGGCAGGTAAGCGAGGGTTACCGGTGTTCTGGCCGAATCGCCAATTTCTCGCCACAAATAATTTGCTTTAGATTCCGCCAATTACTACTTGGCACTTGATTCATTCTTCCTTCTTTTGTGCTTTGACCCCTGTCCCTCATCTTCCTTATTAGTATTACTCAACTCTCTCAGCTTCCTTCTAATTGCTCTCCCCATAGCTCCCCGCACTCCCTCTCCCCATACCCCCCCCTACACCTTCTCCCCGCACCTCTTCCTCGCCATTGTAGTCAGCGAAATTTCATAAATACCAGTTTCCTACCAGTTTCCCTACTCTTTTCTAACCAATGTACCTCTGTAGTGCACTTCCTGTCTCCTCATTCCCCCCCTACCCCTCCTTACTCTCTCCCTTTCCCGCCACTCCTCACACTGCCTATTCGAATCACCAATCTCTCCCTTCCCTTTTCCCCCAACGTCACCAATCCTACTCCCAGATTCATCCCCCTCTCTTCTGAACAACATGAACACCCCTCCCCCCATCTCTCCCCTCTCCCTCTCCTCCCCTCCCCTCCCCCAATCCCTCCCCCTACCGATCCCCCTCCCCCTCCTTCTCCCTTCCCTCTTCCTTCCCTTTTGGCTTCCGCATCCCAAAACACCCTGCGCAGATGGGTCCACATTTCTAAGATACCCGGGTACAAGGTGCCGTACCCCCTAAACTGCTCGCGGCAATTCAGCAGCGAATTCTGTGACGTTTGAAATATCTTTCCCCTCCCCCTCCCGCTCCCCCTTTTCCCCTTTCCCCCTTCCTTCCCCTTTGGCTCCCGCCTCCCAAACCACCCTGCACAGCTGGGTGCACATTTCCAAGATACCCGGATACAAGGTGCCGTATCCCCTAAACTGCTCGAAGCATTTCAGCTGCGCCAACGTGCCTCCCGGGAAGCAGCACCCGTCCAACTACGTCTGGCTGCCCGCGCCGCCTGAACATCCCTCCCCCGATCCTTCCCCTCCCCTCCCCCTCTCCCCTCCTCCCGGGAAGCAGCACCCGTCCAACTACGTCTGGCCTAAACTGCTCGAAGCAATTCAGCTGCTATTTTTGTGGCCTCATAATTCGTCCCCTTCCCCCCTTCCCCCTCTCCTCCCCCTTCCCCCTCCCCCTCCCCCTCCCCCTCCCCCTCCCCCTCCCCCTTCCCCCCCCACTCAACCTCCCCTTTGCGCAGCTGGGTGCACATTTCCAAGATACCCGGGTACAAGGTGCCGTACCCCCTAAACTGCTCGAAGCACTTCAGCTGCGCCAATGTGCCTCCCGGAAAGCAACACCCGTCCAACTACGTCTGGGTGCCCGCGCCGCCCTGCAACTACTACACGTGGAAGTGCGTGATTCGAGGGATTTGACGAGGGGGAGGAATGGGGGTTCGTGGTGGTGTGTATTGGGGGGAAGAAGGATTTTTGGGATGACAATTAGTAACGAGTGGCTGTTGCTCCACTGCTCCGTAAGATTTGTGCGAGAATAAGCTTTGAGTGGGATCAGTGTAATGATACACTTACAGTCACATAATCGATATATTCGCAACCGCACGCCTGCCTCCTCGTCCCGCCGTCCCTACACCCCAGGTTCAATGCCAAGCGATTTCTAAAGAAGATGCGAAACACTGTGATGGCGTTTGTGGGAGACTCGTTAAACGACAACATGTACGAGGGTATCGTGTGCCTCCTGCAGGCTACAACACGGGTAGTGGTGAGTTGCAACTAAAAGTCTTATGTTGTGCACTATAAAGGGGATATGTTTGCGACTCACTAAACACAACTTGTACGAGGGCATCGTGTGCCTCCTGCAAGCAACAACACGGGTAGTGGTAAGCAACCATAAGTTTTATTTCTATACATTTACAACAAAACTATAAGAAGTCTCGGGTTGGCAAGCGGAGACTCGGGTCGTACTATGTGCCGAATTCCAACCTCACCACTCCTTTCCACTCCTCTCTTCCTCTCTCCCTCACACCCATACGCATCCTCACCACAACCCCCTTCCCTCCTCCTCCATCACACCAGTTCAAGAAGGTCAAGGTGGGCAATCGGAGACCGGGGTCGTGCTATTCGCCAAAATACGACCTCACTACTCCCTTCCACTCCTCTCCCCCTTCCCTTCCCTTGTCCTCCCCTCGCCCCTCTCCCCACCAGTTCAAGAAGGTCAAGGTGGGCAATCGGAGACTATTCGCCAAAATACGACCTCACTACTCCCTTCCCATTCCTTCCTCCATTCCCTTCCCTTGTCCTTCCCCCCATCCCTTTCCTTCCCTTCCCCCCACACCAGTTCAAGAGGGTCAAAGTGGGCAATAGGAGGCTCGGATCATACTCTGCGCCGAATGACAAAATCACCACTACTCCGAATGTGCTTTATCTCCCTCTTATCTCCCTCTTCCCCACCAATTTTGAAGAAGGCGGAGGAGCTTCATCACCCTCTTCCCCACCCGCCAACCCCCATCCCCATCAGTTCAAGAAGGTCAAAGTGGGCAATCGGCGGCTAGGGTTGTACTTCAAGCCGAATTACAGCCGCACCACTCCCTTCCACCCCTCTCTCCCTTGCACACCCACGCATCTTCTCTCTTTCTCCCTCCCCCGCACCCTTATGCATCCTCCCCACACCCCCTCCCCTGCTCCCCCCTTCACACACCAGTTCAAAAAGGTCAAAGTGGGCAATCGGCGGCGAGGGTCACACTTCGTCCCGAACTACAATCTCACCACTCCCTTTGCATTCCCTTCCCTTACTTCCCCCTTTCCTACCCTCCTCTCTCCCTCTCTCCCACACGCACATACGCATCCCTCCCCCCCCCCCCCCCCCCCCCCCCAACACCAGTTCAAGAAGGTCAAGTTCGGCAATCGGAGACTCGGGTCCTACTTTGTCCCGAATTACAACCTCACCACTCTCACCATCAACAGCGGTTACCTGGTTCAAAGCCCACGATATGTGAGTTTACCGAGGGTGCTTTTGTTGGATAGATAGTGTACAGTACATCATACAACCTCACCACTCTCACCATCAACAGCGGCTACCCGGTTGAGAGCCCACGATATGTGAGTGTAATACATGTGTGAGTGTACCGAATGTGACCCATTTAAGTGCATAACCCACATGGTTTGCACCGAATTACAAGCTCACCACTCTCACCATCAACAGCGGCTACCTAGAGCCCACGATATGTGAGTTCAATGAAGATGCTTTAATTGCATACACAATGATACTGTACATCACGTTCCATACCGAGTTTCAACCTTAGTACCCAAGCAGTCAACAGCGGTTACCTCGTTCAGAACCTGCCGTATGTGAGTGTAGTTCATGTGTGAGTGTAGTTCATGTGTGAGTGTACAAGATGTGATCGTGCATGTACCTTACCTCTTGAGCCGAATTACAACCTCACCACCGAGGTGACTTTTGAGTCGACTCAAAAGTCACCTCGTACCTTACCTCTTGAGCCGAATTACAACCTCACCACCGCCACCGTCACCGTCAGCAGCGGCTCCAAGAGCTTCTGGTGTTTGTCCTCCCTAATCCTCTTTTGAGGCGCCTCAAAAGTAATTACAACCTCACCACCGCCACCGTCACCGTCACCGTCAGCAGCGGCTCCAAGAGCTTTCCGTCCTTTCCCAGGGAAGGAGCAGCAGTGTTTGTCCTCCCTAATCCTCCCTCATTCTTTCCTTCCTTTCCCATCCTCCACCCGCCATTCTCTTTCCAACAGACCGCCAACCACAAGACAGCGGTTCACACAATGAACCCCAAGTGGGTCACACTCCTCCCTTACACCAACCACACGCCCTAGAGGGTCACACGCCCTAGTTTTCATCGCCCATCCTCTCCATCTCTCATGCTCCCGTCCCTATCCCAACAGACTGCCAACCACAAGACAGCGGTTCACACGATGAACCCCAAGCGGGTCCCACCATGCTGTGTCGATTTTTGCGTGGACTAAAAATTGGACCCCAAGTGTGCCACGCTCCTCCCTTTTCCCATCCTTACGCTCCCCATCCCTCACAGACCGCCAACCACAAGACAGCCGTCTACACCATGAACCCCAAGTGGGTCCCACCATGCTGTGTGTTACTCTCACCCCAATCTTTCCCAACCCTCTTCCTCCATTCCCCTTTCCCCCACAGACCACCAATCACAAGACACCGGTTCACACGATGAACCCCAAGTGGTCCACGCTGCTCCTCCCACCTCCCGTGTGTAGCTGCTCATTTCCCCATCCTCCGTCTTCCCACTCTGCCCTCATTCCCTCTTCCCCACAGACCACCAACCACAAGACAGCGGTCCACACACTGAACTCCAAGTGGGCCACGCTGCTGCCCGTCCCCTCGATAACTGTGTTCCATTCCCCCATCCTTCCTCCATCCCCCTCGATAACTGTGTTCCATTCCCCCATCCTTCCTCCATCCCCCTCGATAACTGTGTTCCATTCCCCCATCCTTCCTCCATCCCCCTCGATAACTGTGTTCCATTCCCCCATCCTTCCTCCATCCCCCTCGATAACTGTGTTCCATTCCCCCATCCTTCCTCCATCCCCCTCGATAACTGTGTTCCATTCCCCCATCCTTCCTCCATCCCCCTCGATAACTGTGTTCCATTCCCCCATCCTTCCTCCATCCCCCTCGATAACTGTGTTCCATTCCCCCATCCTTCCTCCATCCCCCTCGATAACTGTGTTCCATTCCCCCATCCTTCCTCCATCCCCCTCGATAACTGTGTTCCATTCCCCATCCTTCCTCCATCCCCCTCGATAACTGTGTTCCATTCCCCCATCCTTCCTCCATCCCCCTCGATAACTGTGTTCCATTCCCCCATCCTTCCTCCATCCCCCTCGATAACTGTGTTCCATTCCCCCATCCTTCCTCCATCCCCCTCGATAACTGTGTTCCATTCCCCCATCCTTCCTCCATCCCCCTCGATAACTGTGTTCCATTCCCCCATCCTTCCTCCATCCCCATCCCGCAGACCACCAACCACAAGACAGCGGTCTACACAATGAACCCCAAGTGGGCCACGCTCCTCCCTTACACAGACGCCATCGTGTTCAACGCGGGCCACTGGTTCTTCCATCCAGTGAGTGCGTGAGTGCGTGAGTGAGTGAGTGAGGAAGTGAGTGAGTGAGGAAGGGAGCGAGTGAGGAAGGGAGCGAGTGTCTGTGTTGGTGGACCTGGTGCCTTACAGTGTTATGGCTTATGGCATCACGGCATTAAAGCTCGCCATTCTCTTGCCATACACAGACGGCATTGTGTTCAACGCAGGCCACTGGTTCTTCCACCCGGTGAGTGCACGCGTGTTGCTGTGCTTGTATGCGTGTTGCTGTGCTTGTATGCGTGTTGCTGTGCTTGTATGCGTGTTGCTGTGCTTGTATGCGTGTTGCTGTGCTTGTATGCGTGTTGCTGTGCTTGTATGCGTGTTGCTGTGCTTGTATGCGTGTTGCTGTGCTTGTATGCGTGTTGCTGTGCTTGTATGCGTGTTGCTGTGCTTGTATGCGTGTTGCTGTGCTTGTATGCGTGTTGCTGTGCTTGTATGCGTGTTGCTGTGCTTGTATGCGTGTTGCTGTGCTTGTATGCAACCACATCTGGTGTGTTACAGCGTTAAAGGCTTACCAGCAGTACTGCACTGCACTACATTTGAGACGTCTCAAAAGTCACTGCACCACACCCACGCTCCTGCCATACACACAGATGCCATTGTGTTCAACACAGGTCACTGGTTCTTCCACCCGGTGAGTCCCTGTGCTGCTGTGATGGTGATTTCACACTGCAGAACCCCGCTTTCCCTCCTACGTTTTTTGAGAATTCTCAAGAAACATACGGTGAGTCCCTGTGCTGCTGTGATGGTAATTTCACACTGCAGAACTCCGCTTTCCTTCCTTACAATCACACTGGTTCTTCCCCAGTACCCCATCCCAGTCGTGAGCCATGCACTGGTCTCCATTACACACTATTTCGCCAAGTCATCCTACAAGGGAGCAGCAGTGTTCTTCACCTTCTCCCCCGTGCATGACAAAGGCTACTTACTGACCCCTCCTCGCTCTCTCATCCCCCCTCTCCCCCTCCTCTCTCTCTCCACCCTCTCTCCCCTCCCTCCTCCCTTCTCCCCGCTCTCTCCTCCCTTTCCTTTCCCCACAGCCCAAGGACCAGACCACTCCCTGGTACCCAACCCCAGTCATGAGCAAGGCGCTGGTAACCGTGCGAGAGTATAAGCTACTGTTTTGTTCACATTTTCTCCCATTCCCCCACCTCCTGCTTCCCTTTACTTCCCACAGCCCAAGGACCAAACCACTCCCTGGTACCCAACCCCAGTCATGAGCAAGGCGCTGGTAACCGTGCGAGAGTATAAGCTACTGTTTTGTCCACAATTTCTCCCATTCCCCCACCTCCTGCTTCCCTTTACTTCCCACAGCCCAAGGACCAAACCACTCCCTGGTATCCAATCCCAGTCATGAGCAAGGCGCTGGTAACCGTGCGAGACTATTTCGCCAAGGCGAACTACAAGGGAGCAGCCGTGTTCTTCACCTTCTCCCCCGTTCACGAGAAGGGCTACTGCAACGCCGCCCAGCCGTTCCCGCCGAACGTGCAAGCGGAAAACACGCTGATGAGCTTCATCATGCCTGCCATGAAGAAACAGGTGCGTGGTTCCAACACACTGGTTAACAGGTACGTGGTTACCAGACCATCATCCAAGGGAGCAGCCGTGTTCTTCACCTTCTCCCCCGTTCACGAGAAGGGCTACTGCAACGCCGCCCAGCCGTTCCCACCGAACGTGCAAGCGGACAACACGCTGATGAGCTTCATCATGCCTGCCATGAAGAAACAGGTGCGTGGTTACCACTTGTGGTTACTGGAACACATCAGATCACTAGAAACACATCAGATCACTAGAAACAGACACTTTTTCCTTCATGAGCGCCATGCGGCCAGACGCCCACCTGGGGGCTGACCCCACCTTTTTCCTCGCCTTACTCCCTGTTGACAATGACCCATCAGGTGACAGTGATGAAGCGGTCATCCATGAAAGTGGCAGAGATCACCTTCATGAGCGCCATGCGGCCAGACGCCCACCTGGGGCTCACCCCGCTCCTTCCTCTCCGCTCCTTCCCTCTCTTTTCCTGCACCCTGCCTCATTGCAATCCCACTGCAGGTCACTGTTATGAAAAGATCAACCATGAAAGTAGCGGAAGTGACCTACATGAGCGCCATGCGGCCAGACGCCCACCTCTTTCTGAATGGGAGGGACTGCAGCCACTGGTGCCTGCCGGGTGTGCCGGACGCTTGGTCCGACGTGCTGTATAACATCCTGATGGGAGTCAGAAGGAACTTCAAGTGAGGAGGAGGAGGAGGAGGAGGAGGAGGAGGAGGAGGAGGAGGAGGAGGAGGAGGAGGAGGAGGAGGAGGAGGAGGAGGAGGAGGAGGAGGAGGAGGAGGAGGAGGAGGAGGAGGAGGAGGTTATACGAGGAGGAGGAGGTTATTGAGTCGACTCAAAAGTCTGTGGGGTATGGGTGCGGGGACGATTGAGTCGACTCAAAAGTCTGTGGGGTATGGGTGCGGGGACGCGTGCGTTGGGAGATGGGTTGTGGAGCAAGGAGGGAGTGCACCCACTGGAGTCTGTGGGTGTGCCGGACGCTTGGTCCGATGTGCTCTATAACATTCTGATGGGAGTCAGAAGGAATTCACATGATGGAGAAGGGGGATGAGCAGGGTGTGTAGCAGAGTGTAGGGGTGTTGGTTGCGACTGCAGCCACTGGTGCTTGCCGGGTGTGCCTGACGCCTGGTCCGACGTGCTGTATAACATCTTGATGGGCGTGCGGAGGAATTTCACATGAGGTGTTCCCATCGAAGTGGGGGAGTGGGGGTAGCCTAGCCCAGCCCTGGTGGTCGCGACTGCAGCCACTGGTGCCTGCCGGGTGTGCCCGATGCCTGGTCCGTTGTTCTATACAAAATCCTCATAGGTGTGCAGAGGAACTTCACATGAGGAGGAGGGATGAGGGATGGGATGGAAGGGATGTGGGTGGGAGGAAGGATTGGGTTACAAATCTGGGTTGTGAGGTGTGGAGGAGTGTTGGGAGGGGTTTCAGCTACTGTTGCCCGCCTGGTGTGCGTAATATAGCCACTGTGGCATGATGCAGAGAAATTGTGATCCATAGACCAAAGCAAGTCTGGAGCATACAGTGCATCATTTGGGAATTCCCCTATCGTATGTGGGGTAAGACGGATCAAAACTACGGTAGGTTCTTTTATGAAGGATGTCTTGCTGACATTTTTCGATACCAGTATGATAATAAATCGATCCGTTTTTCCTGCTGGTACCATTATGCAGCCAAATTATGTGATCGCAGTGATACAAAAATGGCATGTTGTAAAGCTAGGTAGATTACGGTATTGCCCATGTTGCGGCATTGCTTCAGCCCAGCTACAGCCCACTGGTACTAAATGCTTGTTCCTTTTTCTCAGTACGACAGGTACTACTAGCATCACCCTCTTACCGTAACAACATTTGAATGCGAGCACGCGTCTGAAATGCCTAATGAAATCACAAGTCAAGGGACACGAAGGATGGGAAGGACTACTGCAAGGTAACGATACAGTAAATGTTGGGAAGACATTCTACCAGTAGTTCGGAAAGAGGGATCAAGGGGCATAAACAATAATGGGAGGGATGGAGAGATGGAGTGGACATAGAACTTCTGAGACAGCTGCAGGGTGTTTTTGAGAATTCTCAAAAGGAGGGACCAAGGGGCATAAACAAATAATGGGAGGGATGGAGGGATGGAGTGGACATGGCACTTCTGAGACACAGCACTGGTATGTCTGAGCAAGCTCCGTTCTGCCGCTCCACCCCACAGAAGCAGCAGCAAGAGCGACCAGCGACACACTTTTCAGCAGCAGCATCAGCAGCAGCAGGAGCAGCAGCAGCAGCAGCAGGAGCAGGAGCAGGAGCGGCGCCAGCAGCAGAGACCAGCTTACGCTTGCCCCGCAGCAGCAGCCACCTCAGCAGCAAAATCCGACACCTTCTTCTCAATCCCCTCTCCCAGCGTAAACCTCTCAAACCGTCTCACGCGGATGTTCTCCCCCAGCGCAGCCACCACCTCCTTCACCACCTCCTTCACAGTCACCTTATCGTTCTTAATAAACGGCTGCTCCAGCAGAGCCAGCTCTGAGACGCGCTTCGCCAGCCGCCCGTCCACAATCTTACCGCGCACCGCCTCGGGCTTGCTCGCCAGATCCTCCTTCCCCATCTCAATCTCCCGCTCCTTGGCAAGCCAGGCCGAATCCACATCCTCCTCGCTCACCACCTGCACGCCCGGGCACGCCACGACCTGCATCGCCAGGTCGTCCACCAGCTCCCGGAACTTGTCCCCCCGCGCGACAAAGTCCGTCTCGCAGTTGATCTCGATGAGAGCGCCGATGCGCCCGTCGTGAATGTAGCTCCCGACAATGCCCTCCGCGGCGATGCGAGATGCCTTCTTGTCTGCGCTGGCCAGACCCTTCTTGCGGAGCAGCTCCCGGGCAGCATCAACATCCCCATTGGTGGATTCAAGTGCTTTCTTACAGTCCATCATGCCGGCGCCGGTGGCGTCCCGAAGCTGCTTCACTGCTGCCATAGACACGGCGACCTTGGGCTTGTCGGCGGCAGGCTCGGGCGCAGCTTCGGCGGCAGGAGCGGCAGGGGCAGGAGCAGCAGGCGCGGCAGGGGCCTGCACCTGGCTGGCTGCAGCCACCTCCGCTGCGAAATCAGCCGATTTCTTCTCGATTCCCTCCCCGAGGTTAAACCGCACGAAGCGGCGAATGCGGATGTTCTCGCCGAGAGAAGCAATGGCCTGCTTCACCACATCCTTCACCATCACCTTATCATTCTTGATATACGGCTGCTCCAACAGAGCTAGCTCATTCAACCTCTTCGCCATCCGCCCATCCACAATCTTCCCGCGAACCGCCTCAGGCTTGCTCGCCAGATCCTCCTTCCCCAGTTCCACCTCCCTCTCCTTCGCCACCTGCTCCGCAGGCACATCCTCCACAGATACCACCTCCACCTGGGGGCACGCCGCCACCTGCATGCCCAAATCTTCCACCAGCTCCTGGAACGCACTCCCTCGGGCGACGAAATCCGTCTCGCAGTTCACCTCGATGAGAACGCCGATGCGGTCCGAGTGAACGTAGCTGCTCACGAGCCCTTCGGACGCGATGCGGGAAGCTTTCTTGTCGGCGGAAGCGAGCCCCTTCTTGCGGAGGATCTCGCGGGCCGTGTCGAGGTCCCCGTTGGCGTCGGTGAGAGCCTTCTTGCATGCCATCATGCCGGCCCCCGTCTCCTCCCTCAGCTGCTTCACCACTGCGGCTGAAATGCCACCTGCTGCTGCACAAGAGGCGGGGTTGAGGGGAGGGAGCGGGAAAAGAAGCAGGGTAAGGGAGATTGTGAGAGGCCTTCTTGTCTTCACCGGAAAGCACCAAGCCCCTTGTGGCGAGGCCCTTCTTGCGGAGGATCTCGCGGGCCGTGTCGAGGTCCCCGTTGGCGTCGGAAAGGGACTTCTTGCATGCCATCATGCCAGCCCCCGTCTCCTCCCTCAGCTGCTTCACCACCGCCGCTGAAATGCCTGTCGGGAATGGGTAGAGGCGCGGGGAGCGGGGGATAAGGTTGAGTCAAGGTCCCCGTTGGCATCAGAGAGAGCCTTCTTGCATGCCATCATGCCGGCGCCGGTTTCCTCCCTCAGCTGCTTCACCACTGCCGCTGAAATACCTGTTGGGAATGGGGAGGGGTGCGGGAAGGGTTGGGGAAGGAGGAAAGAAACGGGGATCAGCTGCTTCGTCACCACTGCTGAAATGCCTGAATGGGAAGGGGACGGTTCGGGAGTGAGGAGTGAGGAATGCGGGAGATCGAATGGAGAAGGATGGTGGAAAGGGAGGTGAAGCAAAGGCAAAGCTGCACCATTGTGTATGTGCCATTATGCATGTGCCACCATGCATGTGCCACCATGCATGTGCCACCATGCATGTGCCACCATGCATGTGCCACCATGCATGTGCCATTATGCATGTGCCACCATGCATGTGCCACCATGCATGTGCCACCATGCATGTGCCACCATGCATGTGCCACCATGCATGTGCCACCATGCATGTGCCACCATGCATGTGCCACCATGCATGTGCCACCATGCATGTGCCACCATGCATGTGCCACCATGCATGTGCCACCATGCATGTGCCACCATGCATGTGCCACCATGCATGTGCCACCATGCATGTGCCACCATGCATGTGCCACCATGCATGTGCCACCATGTATGTGCCACCATGCATGTGCCACCATGCATGTGCCACCATGCATGTGCCACCATGCATGTGCCACCATGCATGTGCCACCATGCATGTGCCACCATGCATGTGCCACCATGCATGTGCCACCATGTATGTGCCACCATGCATGTGCCACCATGCATGTGCCACCATGCATGTGCCACCATGCATGTGCCACCATGCATGTGCCACCATGTATGTGCCACCATGCATGTGCCACCATGCATGTGCCACCATGCATGTGCCGTTGTGCGCGTGCCACCATGCTTGCACCCTTTGAGTTGGAAGCATGGGCATGTGAAAGTGTATGGTGGTGTTAAAGTGGAACACCAGGACAGGGGAAGAGAGAAAGGGAGTCCGTTTTTTAGGCACCTCAGGAACAATAGGACAGGGGAAGAGAGAGAGGAGAACAGACCAAGACAGGGGAGGTGATGAACGAAAGAGAGAGTAAAGGGAGAACGGAGGGAGAACAGGAAGGAGAGGGCGGTTAGGGGAGGAAAGGGGGTGACGTGGGGAGGAGATAAACAAAAAGTGGAACTATGCAACTGTCAAGGGTAATCAATTTGGAGCCAGAGGAGACAGACTGCAAAGGCGCAGCCCCAGGGAGGTTTGTTAGTGAACAAGCGAGAACAGGCTACTGGTACGGAACACGTGAGCAAGGGCTGGGCAGTGAGTATAGGCGAATGTGTAAGGAGAGGCGCGGTTAATGGGTAGTTGGTGGCTCAGTGGAGTGGAAAGCTGTGGTAGGAACGCTTTGTTGGTGGGGAGTGAGTGAGTGTGGGGGAGGGATAGAGGGAAAGCAATGGGAGGAGGAAGGCTGAGGCGAGGTGAAGGCACAGGCGTGTGAGGAAGGCTGCTGGGCGGTTTGATAATTTCAGATTGGAGAAAATTATTTCTGCATTATCAAGGTAAAAGGTTACACAAAAGGGTTAAACAGCCAGACAACTCGTTTGAAACCCTGAGCCCTGACCAACATCCCTCCACCATGCAAACAGACGCAACTAGCTCGGCCCCCCTTCAGCACCCTACCCCCTCCCCTACTCTCCCCCTGCTAAACTACTCACTGCTACCTGCTGCGGGGGTGGCGGCAGGAGCAGGAGCAGCCTCCTCCTTCGTCTCCTCCACAGCCGGGATATCCGCCACCACCACAGCCTCCGCCGCTTCCGCAACAGCTTCAGCC